AAGGGGCGTAATGATGCTGGGAATATTCTTGTAGCACAGGTTTGGTTGTAAAAAACACACGAAGCACTTAATTGTACATGTGGTATTCAAAATGTGCAAGTGGCTGAAGGGGCGTAATGATGCTGGGAATATTCTTGTAGCACAGGTTTGGTTGTAAAAAACACACGAAGCACTTAATTGTACATGTGGTATTCAAAATGTGCAAGTGGCTGAAGGGGCGTAATGATGCTGGGAATATTCTTGTAGCACAGGTTTGGTTGTAAAAACAACACGAAGCACTTAATTGTACATGTGGTATTCAAAATGTGCAAGTGGCTGAAGGGGCGTAATGATGCTGGGAATATTCTTGTAGCACAGGTTTGGGTCTTTTGATCAAGGGCAAATAACAGCAAGGGCGTGCCAGAATGTTCTGGATGTTTTATTTCCGCCCTGATAAACAAATTAAGATGATACCTGAACTATCCAATGTGGTCTCATTGTTCACAACTGTCGAAGAAAGTAATAGGTTGATTAAAAGACAACAACACGAAGACAGTTCATGATAACAAACTTATATTTTTCAAAGATTTATATACGATATTAGTTACAGATTTTTATTTCACAAACCATAGAGGAAAAAACCCTAAACAAGAAAAAAAAAAGTCCAGCTTATTTATCCTGTACACAAATACTTTTATAAATTCCAAAAAACAAATTTCAATATTTAACATATCAAAAATATCCAATGGGATTTAATACTTTAAGTCTTGTATTTTGAGCAGAATATATAGTAACCACAGTCCTCTCCGTCAACGGACAGAGGAACGCTCAAAAGAAAGAAAAAAAACGGAATATGGGAAAAGTATCTTACTATACAAATTATTAATATTCTTAAGATCACAGAGGCACCTCCGTAGAGTAATTAATTTAGAAAATGTACATGTACACCATTTATTCCTCGTTTTTCGGACGGAAGCAAGTTTGCATTGAGGGGGTGGCCGTTTAAGTAGATATTATTATACAACACAGATCACAGATTTTATAATGATTAATATTTAAACGAATACTTGTTGTTCAGTAAGACAATATTATTGGAATTACCGAAAATCTCGGCAAGTTCCTAAGCCAAGAACTTTGGTTATTGCTTTACGTTGATATATGTTAAAAAAATTAAACAAACAACAGCCCTAATACCGAAACGTGAGTACTGACAACTTGTCTGTTTCTACTATGTATAATGTCCTTATTTTGGTTAATAAACACTATTTCTGAGCTTTATTGAAAGTTATATTAAAAAAAACAACAACATTAGTATTTGCCTGTTCATAAATAACATTACAATATAGGTTAAGTACAAAATAATAACATACATAACAAAAATCATGTAAAAAATAAAATAAATTTCGTTAACCATACGCGAGAGTTAGTATCTATAAACACGGACATAAATCTGTAACTACACACATCCCAATTATTATACAGCTGTAAAAAAAAACCTCAGAGCTATGGAAGTTGTACAAGCCATTAGTGGAAAACATCCTGTTTTACTGGTTAAATAACCTTCTAATATACGTGTAACCGTCGTACCTGAGTAACCCTTGTTAAGATTCACCTCTAACACTTAACTACAGCACTGGACATAATTCCTCCTCTTCCCCCCCCCCCTTCCCCCGACAACCAGTTCTTCGTTATTAATCCTGGCAACCATGATTCAAGTTGTGTCTAGCACTAGAGCGCCCTAAGCCTACTTATTTCACGTGCAGATCCGCTACTGTTTTTGTTTTGCCTTTAATTTCTGCAACATAAAACAGTACCGCAATAACAGTTAGCTGACAAGAACTGTTTATTCTTAATTACAGCGAGAAAGTCGTTAATATTACCATTAATTAAACACTGGAAGGGAATATCTCGAGAAAATCGTTTATAAACGGTTGCGCATGTGCAGAACGTCAGGTCTGTCGTATATCAAACGCAAGAAAAGCTAACATGGAAACGTATTACTACAAAATGGACACTCCGAACGAAACTGGTTGATACTGAGTTAACACACTTTCTAGTAAATCAGGCTTTGATTCCTGGGAAATTACAGCTTGAGCTATTGGGCCTTGTACGATTTGCGGCTCTCCTATATCCCGCAATCAAACCGTCTGACGTTTCTACACGTTTTAACCAATACATAAACTCAGTTACAGAGCTAAGGTGAAGAAGAAGCGTATATATCTATATATGGAAAATATTCTTATGATTGAGAACAGCGTATAAATGTCACCAGTTACCATCGGTAAAAACAAGTACAAGCTGTCTGGTCCTTCATTTCCATCCCGAGTATCATAAAAAACCAAGTAAACAGATTGTCCAATAATTCTATCGGATATAATCTGAAATTGTTAATGATATGACATGTCAATCGTTTGTTATTTAATATATAAACACCTTGAACGTATTCAAATTAGGTTAAATTATATATATATATCTGACATAATGACTAAACCACGTGTTATACAGTAAATATATATATATTTTTTTATACAAGCCCACTTCCAATTACCTCCAAAATATTTGTCATAATTTAAAATGAGATATGTTATACGGTGAACAAATCAAGTTTTCTGTTTTACTTTCTGTGAATTGTCGTTTTTTCATACTTTCTCCAGAATGGCAGAAAGTCAGTAAATGTACTTATTAAAGTGTGATACAACATATAACTGTTTCTAGAAACGGTGTTGTTAGAGTTTAAAGTTTGTTTTTTGTATTTTGAACACGCCCACTTTAAACTGAATGGAAGGTTTCTCAAACACTGGCTTAGAATAAGAAAGACAAACTTCGCTGGTCATATTGACAGTTTTCTCTTGTCCAACCTTCTCTACCTACAGGAAAAAACAAAAAACAACTGAGTTGTGAATCTAACGAATACATCTTATCTAAAATAAATGAACTAATGTCTAGAAAAAAAGTTCAGATTTACTTGTCTAGAATAAAGTTCAGATCTACCTGTCTAGAATAAAGTTCAGATCTACCTATCTAGAATAAAGTTCAGATCTACTTGTATAGAATAAAGTTCAGATCTACTTGTATAGAATAAAGTTCAGATCTACTTGTATAGAATAAAGTTCAGATCTACTTGTCTAGAATAAAGTTCAGGTCTACCTGTCTAGAATAAAGATCAGATCTACTTGTCTAGAATAAAGTTCAGATCTTCTTGTCTAGAATAAAGTTCAGATCTTCTTGTCTAGAATAAAGTTCAGGTCTACCTGTCTAGAATAAAGTTCAGATCTACTTGTCTAGAATAAAGTTCAGATCTACCTATCTAGAATAAAGTTCAGGTCTACCTGTCTAGAATAAAGTTCAGGTCTACCTGTCTAGAATAAAGTTCAGGTCTACTTGTCTAGAATAAAGTTCAGATCTACTTGTGTAGAATAAGTCCACTAATAAGTGCTGAATGTAAAGTTTCAAACATTTTAATATTCTTTCTGTATTTAAATGTTCAGACTAGTAACCAACCAAGGTTAATTGTAAACTGACCTGTGATAGCTTTATCTTAATGTCATACAAACATATTGATTAAAGGAAATTTTTGTTGATATCACATTTTTTTTAGTTGTCCTAAGCATTTCAAATTAAATGGTTGTATGAAATTATTCTGAATAAGTATAGCTAATTTTCAATTTAAGAAAGAAGGTGATTTAAACGTTGTATACCTGTGATGCTTCCTCAGGTTAAAATAGAATGTTTTCTCTTTAGTTTTTCTTATTCTAATATAGTGAATTTGCTACAAGTCTTTATAAGAGCTAAATGGCTCTCCGGGTTTTAGTTTTGCAACTTATTTTTAGGTTTCTAAAGATACAAGATATATGTATAGCTTTTCTAAAAATGAAACCAATTTTTCATCATAGAATATTTATCCTTAGTTTGCTACCTCCGAGTCTTTGCTGGTATCACTACATAATGGATTTAACTTGTGTGTGTTTAATGTTAACAATCCTATTTTAGTATCATATTATTTTTGCGCTGTGGCGCCATCTATTAGTCAAAAGTGATACTTACACTCAGACCAGACATTTTCTCAATCCTTTTTAGGATATAAATACTCTATTGCGATCAGAATAAAGCTGTCTAATTAAACCCTAGTATCATTCATCTGTGATACGCGGTGGACTTGTTTTCAGTCTAGTTGTTTGAAATTTTTAAAAGTATTCCGATGTCGTAAGGGAATACTGTTACGTAACGCGCGCTCTTTCCGTTACAACCTGGAACTAGGTAACTGTTGCAATGGTTTTAAATGTGTGTGTGTAAAACCTAAGTCCATACAAAACATCCATCTGAAAGAGTAAGGGAATATTTGGTAGACTAGATATTTAATTGTATAAAGATTCCAATATTACAAAGAAAACATTTCCAATATCACCGAGATGAGGAGAGTGGAAATGTTTTCTTTGGATAATTTATCCCGAATTCTCTGGAAGAAATCAAATATCAAATGGTTTACCTCGAAAACGTCACGTTGTCGTCTAAGATTAAAAAATTATTTCCATCAAACACCGGTCCCGGTTGAAACTGGCTTCCACCGTCGTACATCTCCAATGGATACAAGTCAGTTCCTTGCACTTGAACTGAGCTCGTGGAGCTACCGCCCTCTGACTGCGCATTTTCCAAAACTATCCTGGCAGGGCCATGACTGTAGATTTTCTTATTATTCAACGATGCTTGGGAACCTGTAAAATGGATCAAAATATAACGGACTAATTTGTGATACTGGAATAACTACGTACTTCATAGGTATTATCATAACTACACATCAACTATTGGACATAATTATCGGTGGATTGAATGGGTTTGATTCAGAGATACACGTCTTTATGATAATGTATTTTATTTTCCACACCTGTTTTAAAATCATCAACAATCCCTACAGTTAAATCCATTGTTATCGAATTACCAATTAAGTACTAACACTAACTAAACACGTTACAACCTGGCTAAAACGTAAAAAAAATAAGAAAATTGTTGATGCAGTGAAAAATAAACATGTTATTCTTTTACCTCACGTAAAGAGAAGAAGGGAAAAAAATAGGTGTTTCGAAGGGTGAAGAACATTCGGCAGTTTGCTGCAGCTGAGGGTTTAACAAGAGGAAGTGGGCGTTGATGACAAATATCCAGACAGAAAAGTTGTTTTGTTTTTTTGTTAAATTTGGCGTAGGGTTAGTCAGGTGCTATCTGCATTAGTCGTCCCTAATTTAGAAGCGATAAACTAGTTGGAAGATAGTTAATTAACGAATAATGGAATTGACGCTACGGCTGAAATGACGAGTATGTTAGGTGACGGAGATTCGAACCTACGATCTGCCGATTGAGAATCGAGCGCCCAAGCCACCAGACCATGTCAGACCGACAGTATCCTTCAAGAAACGTAAATATCATGCCGATTTAAAACAACCCCAAATATAGAATAGAAATGTTTGAAGGCTGTTGTAAGACAATGTCCACATGGAAAAGTTATGGATAAAAACCCTAATATTCCACTTGTACGCACAATCAAATGAGTCAACGTTGGATAATCACAAGAAGAGACCAAAGTTCCATGAAAATTTGTGGCACCAACTGGAAACTAATTTGCAAAAATGAAAAGAAATAAGAGCAAGTACCCCTGCCTTGCCATCGTCGTCATATAGCTAAGCCTAAAGATGGCTGCTAAATATTGAAAATTTATGTTTTATGTTCAAAAATGAGCTTATTAGGCCTAAGATTGTAATATTGAGCGTACCTATAACGTGTAAACCAAAACAATACTGTTCTTTCCAAATTTTCATGAAAAACTGAGTTATCTTGAGTGGACTCAGACGTTTGATCGATAATATAACTTAAGGTGACAAATATAATTGAATGATTTCCAGATCTTTCAATTCTCTCCCGTCTAGACTAGAGGTGAAAAAAGTATTAACATTTTTATAGACTTTTGTTATAAAAACGTGCATTTCACTAACTCTGGCCCTCATGCTACTCTAACCTAATAGGAGTAATATAAAACATGTTAATATTACATAGGTCCATAAAAGGAAGATTACCACTGAAAAACAGTACAGTATTACTAAGGAAAATTACCACTGAAAAACAGTACAGTATTA